AGCAGTGGCAGTGGCAGTGGCAGTCGCAATCCCAGTAGCAGTAGCAGTAGCAGTAGCAGTAGTAGCAGCGGTGGTAGTAGCCGTCGTCGTCGGTAGTAGTAGTAGTAGTAGTAGTAGTAGTAGCAGTAGCAGTAGCGGTGGTAGCAGCAGCAGTAGTAGTGGTAGTAGGAGGATGAGGAGGAGGAGGAGGAGGCCTCAACGACATCGACGACGACTTGGACCCCGACGACGATCAGTCCTGTGAGAAGTGCTCGCGTACCCTCATGATGGAATTCGTCTGGTCCTGCATCACTGCGGAGTTGGGAATTCAGGGTATAGGAGCTTAAGGATACAGGATTCAGGGCCACAAAAATTAGGAGACCAAACCCCGCAACAAAAAAAGAAACCCAACTTGTAACATCCGCCGAGGGTCACTCAGGTAGACCAGTCGCCGGGCCGCATATTTGCAAGCCTCCAGCTCAGAGGATCGAGGGCTCAGGGTTTAGCTTTGCAGTTTTCGGGTTTTCCCCGAACAACCCTGGAGCTAAAGCCTCAAACTGCGACTTTAGGTTGATAGGGTTTAAGCCAAGTTGAGGGTTTCTGGGGGTTAGGGTGCTGGGGAAAAGGACAGTGCTTTGAGGTCTGAGAATTCGTGGTGCGGTTAAAGGGGGTGCTTTTCAGGGGCCATGAGGGCTTCTTGACAGGGTTCTGTAAGGCTTAGGGCTCAGCCATGTTCTATATAGAAATTTGGGGCTTCGAGAGTAGGGCTCGAAGAAAACGGTGTCAATGTACGGGCCTTCATTTCTTTCGTATCTCCTAACTGCTATCACTGTAGTAGGGAACCCTTAGGAACAGTATTACCACCTCGAACGCCTGTTCGATTCAATCCGGCGCCGAACCAGACACAATTGTGAAGAACCTGTTTCTTTGTTAAGGACCAGGGTTTTAGGGTTTAGGGTTTAGGGATTTCTTAAGGACCGCCCAAGCGAGCGCTATTACAATTACTAAGGGCCCTGTATTATGCTTTCGGGTTTCAAGCACCAGGGCCTGATCTCAAAGCCTCAGGGTTTAGGGTTCAGGAGTTTACGGGTTTAGAGTTGAGGGTTTAGGGTTTAGGGTTTAGGGATAACCATCCAATAAAACTGGTAGGTTCCAGGTGGTCTCTAAAGTGGCCGGATCGTACGAAGCCTAAGGTCTTTGTTTCGAGCTGTTGCAGTTGCAGAAACTTGGAAAACAACATCCCATGAGAACTGGGAATTGGGTTTAGGGGTTTAGCGTTCAGGATTTAGTTATACAGCCGCATGGCGGTCCAGCGCGGAAACCACAAGCATGCCAAACAAAAGCCTCGGCTTCCTTAGCGCAAAACTTGGTTCAGGGTTTAGGGTCCCTAAACCCTAAACCCTAAACCCTAGTTTAGGGCTTAGGGCTAAGAACCCTAAACTCTAGAGACCCGAAACTTCTTTGGATATGGGGGGGGTGCACTGTTCTATTTGGGAGCTCTACGGCCCGCAGCACTCTTCCTGTCGATGTAGTCACTTGCAGAAGCCGACCGAGTCCAAAAAAAATCGGTAGACAAGCATAAACACGATAGGCGCCCTGCATCATCATTCAAACCTAGAACTTCGGGTTTAGGGTTTAGGGTTTAGGGTTTAGGGTTCAGAACACCCTTGCAAGCGTATTCAAACCCTGCAAGCCGAAACATATCAAATAGGACAGATTAAAGTCCCTTCATTACAGAACTTCGCTACTACTAAACCCTAAACCCCTAAACCCATGAACCCCAAACCCTGAGTCCACACCTACTAAATCCTAAACCCTAAACCCCTCTCCTTCATGTCCCCTCATAC